AAAAAAGCTTTTTACATCATCTCATCTACATGTGTTATCATATAACCCATGTGAAATACTAACATGGGGTTATTTTTATAATTTTTACAAACTTTTTCACATCAGTTATTGTTATACCTGATGTTAAATAGTGAAACGGGGTGTATTTTACAATTTTATAAAATATTTTACATTGGTCTTATAAACAACCGATGTAAACACAAAAAACGGGGTCAACTTTTTAATTAATGGAAGTTGTTTTAAGATCGGTTAAAACCGGTTTCGAAAAATAGCAAAATACAAAAATCGTGCCTCATACGAGATCGGCTATAACCGATCTGGATGAGTAAACCTATGTGATACGCGTCGTTTCTGTTATTTAGGAAGACCTTCAAACCTAGCCCAAAATTCAGCAAATTAGCGACCATCGCCCTGGGACGGCCAACGACCAGCGACCGTGGACGGCCAACGACCAGCGACTACCAACGGGCCCGGAGACCGCAGACAGACCCGACAGACCCCAGGCGCACCCGGCGACCAGCGACCAGAGGGAAAAAACGGACCAACGATTAGAGGCGGACCCTGCGCGCGATCAGATTGAACTAGCGACCAGACGCGATTGTGGGTAAAGTTTCCTGGCTCTAGCGCCGAGTGCAGGTCGGACGGCTTAGCCTAGGATTTCTGGCCAACAGTTTGAGCTAGTCGCCGAGCATCTGGTAAGTTTACTGATGGTGTATTATATGTGTGCAAGTGTAGGTGGATTTTGCAAGTGTGTATTTTTTCTTTGACGTATAAGTTGCTCACGCCTTAACATAGACCATATTAATTTTTATAGTTGTTGCTTGGATTGGATAATTTTTTTCTTTTTTTGGGAATCTGCCCATAGATGAATGTGTTATTGTTTAGGGCTGATTGGCAGAACTGAAGGTGTCATCTGCACGCTACGGGAGACCCTTAAAGTTAAGGATGAAGAGTTGCAAAATTGAAATTTGTATGCTCAGGGATGTGTTTTCTTCAGTCAGCCCATTGAATTCCATTCTCATCCTCCCTGTCACTCACAAATCTCTTTGTTACGCTTTTTGTCAGCATCTTTGATCTTTCTCAGGGTACTTAACACCCCAATTTCTTGATTATCTTGTAAAAGTAGGAGTTAATGCAGACGCCAAAAATAAATAAAGTTGAGTGAAGTGATGATATCATTATTGACTAGGCCTGCAAGACTAAATAGCAAGGCTGTTAGAATTGCTTTCACTTGTACAGTTTACTCGATCTGGAAAGCCCTAAATACTGGAATATTTGGAGGGGTGAAGGCCACGAGTGATGAACTGATTTTGCAAATCAAGTGCTTATTTACAAGATTTTATATAGACTATATCCGCCGAACATGATAAATTTCTGATGCCGCAATAGATCGGTTACTAGTTGACGGAACAGTTTGTGCTTTTGTCCTGATTTTAGATGCCTCCTGCAGTCAAACTTGCATTCGAGAGAGCAAAGGAGTATAAGGAAAACAAAGAAGAAGCTTTGGCAAAGTTTGCAGGTTCACAAGGCAGTGGTAATTTCTACTTTGATTCTTGATTGTTGTTTTATTTGTAATTTCAATTTTTTTTTCCCGAATTCATTGCTATAAATTTCATATGTGAGTCATGATCAACCAGTAAAGATTTAATTTAATCGATCAGCTAGTCTAATTGACCTCGATGGATAATCTAACATCACTTTATATATGCACGGGTGTGAGTTGTCCTTTTCATATTTCTATGTGGAATCTTATAAATATAATTCTTGATGCTTTCAAGAAGTACTCAGGAAAAGAGTTTTTTCCTTACTCCATAGTAAGGTGTGAGTTGGCCTTTTAATATTTCTATGTGGAATCTTAAAACTATAATTCTTGATGCTTTCAAGTACGCAGGACAAAAGTTTTTTCCTGTACTCCACACTAAGGGTGTGCCTTTCTATTCATACTCCTTAGTAATTTATCTTTTTCACAACTGTGGTTTAAGTAGTTACATAGTCTTTTTACTGGATTCATTGGGTGATTGGGTCATACGTACAGAAAAGTAAAATGATGGTACTATTTGTATACATGTTTGACTCTTATTTATGAAATTCTATCCAAGTATTGAGCATATGGAAAAATTCAAAATTAGATTATTATTGCAAATTGCAGTACAGTACTGTACTTAGAGTATACATGCTTTTGTAATTGCAGTATCCTTTTGATCAAAATATTTAAAGAATTAAGCTTGAACCTCTGTTTTGTTGCTGGTTCCTATGAGTAGTTTGGCTGCTGGTGTGTGTGTGTGTGTTCTTAGAGGACTGTTTTGTTGCTGTTCGATATCTGTTTTTTTAATGTGGGTTTTCTTGTGATTTGTTGTTGGTAACTTCGGGGGTATGCCATTAAACTATAATTTTTGCCTATTTATAGTATTTATCTTTTATCCAAAAAAAATTATTGACTAGGTTTGATAATGTTGCTGATAAGGTTTGTTTAATAGGGTGCTTTTATGACATTCTAACGCCTGGATTTGTTTAATAGGGTGTTTTTCTAACATTCTATCGCTTGGATTTTATTGTATTTTATTGTTCGCTCTTTCCTCTTGATGCGTAAAGAATATGGGTTATTGTCATTTATAAATGAGAAAAGGTGCAAATAGGCCCATGTACTAACCAAAAAAGGTCAAATAAGCCCTTATTTAGGAGGCTCTGTCCGGCCGTCGTCATTTGGGGTGGTTCCCGGTGGAATTTTTCGATGAATTGTTTTTAGCATCTTATTCATTAAGTCTAGTTTACTCATACCAAATTTCAGCTAAAACTTCAATCGGGAAGGCATTCAAATGAATTCTTGAAAATAACTGCGCAGTTAGAAGCGCAATTATCTTCAAGAATTCATTTGAATGACTTCCCGATTGAAGTTTTAGCTGAAATTTGGTATGAGTAAACTAGACTTGATGAATAAGATGCTCAAAAAAGTTCATCAAAAAATTCCACCGGGAACCACCCCAAATGACGACGGCCGGACAGAGCCTCCTAAATAAGGGCTTATTTGACCTTTTTTGGTTAGTACATGGGCCTATTTGCACCTTTTCCCTTTATAAATTGTCATGTTATTTTACTCGGCAGCCTGTGGAAATTAGTGTTGAAGTGGAGAAGAGCAACATTAAAACAGATGAAGAAAAAATACAAGATGTTTGAGAAAGAGCCATAGATTATACAAGAGAACAAGCTATATCACCAAAAGCATATGGGGAATGTTCCAAGACGACCATCAGCAAGAAGCGATTTAGGGCATGATTGCAAAGACAATGTACAAGAAAAGTAAAGAATATTTTGCTAAAGCTTATGAACATTTGTCTAAAAATATGTATTGTTATTTTTATTAGTTATCAACATTGGTCTACTGAAAATTATTTGTAAGCATTGCAAGATGTGCTAATAACAGTTGATGATTCATGTTAATGATGTGATTATAGTATAAATAGGGTCATATTGCAATTTTTTTTTCTAAAAATTTCTACATCGGTTGATAAAATAACCAATGTGAAAGCTTTTCTACATGGGCTATAATCAATGTGAAAACTCGTATGTTCCGGAAAAAAATGAAGCTTTTCTACATGGGTTGTTTTAGACCCGATGTAAAATCTTTCACATCGGTTATAACCGATGTGGAATACCATTTAAAACGTCGTTTTGGACAATCTTCTAGATCGGGTACTGCACGACCGATGTGGAAAGATTTTTCACATCGGTTCTTTGACCGATGTGAAAAGTCTCTACTTTTCACATGGGCTGAAACCACATCGATTGTTTGACCGATGTGAAAAGCCTTTTTTGACCGATGTGAAAAGCCTTTTTTGTACTAGTGATGAATGAACTGTTCTATTGTTTATTTGTGTTAGAGCTCGTTTGGTACACTGCAATTGATTTAATCAGTTGAATGTATTAAAATTTATCAAATTCTTACCGAAATGACTCAATTAATTGAATCTATTGAATTACATAGAAATTTAATTTAGGCTATATATTTATTAATGTTGTTTGCGTCTCCTATCTTTGTCCCATTTTACATTTTCCGTCTGTCCTATTAAATTTGTTGCATACCATATTTGTGAATATTTGGGTGATTATATTTATTTTTTATTTTATTCACATTTTATCAATTCAATACTAGTAACACAATCACAATTTTCTTAATAAACACAATACTCCCTCTTATCTCAATTTTAGGAAGGGGGTGTAGTATTATAAAGAAAAAGTCAGATGAAAATGCTAAATTAGCTGACTTTAAACAATTTGATTCAATTTAATTAGAAAAATAATTTCAACATCACTTGCTTTAATTATTAAACAATTTATCTAAAATAGTTGGTTTAAAATAGTTTGACAAAAAGATTGACTGATAAAGTGAACCATATGCTACCAAACGGGTTTGGTAGCATATTTATACCATAGTATTTCCTAATATTTATATCAAAATATAAAGGGGATAAAAGGACCCTAATATTATTTTAGGGTATCAAATGGGCTCTAATCCTAATATGGAATAATTCTTTTTTTTTTGGTCCCATATGGAGTAATTCTTTACTAATAGTTTTATTTATATTTCAAGTATTTCAACTAATTTTAAAAATTAGCTAATAAATAAATAAAATTAATTCAAAGGAGCAAGTTTAACCGCCGCTAGTTCTGTTATGTTCACGTACTGTTACTTAAGGGTGTAATTGCCCTCCAATAAGAAATTTAAAAGATTTTTACGCTCAAAAAGAGCTTAAGGGCATACTCTTTGGTGGCATTTTGAGGTTTTTTTGCCTCTTTTCCCTAATAACAACCGTAGACACACTAGTGAACAAAACACTGCTCATGCGAGCACCAAACCACCTTTTAGAATTTAGACATTATTTAAATTAAATAAGGAAGAAGATGAGAATTAACATTCTCAAAAGATGAATGTCTCTTTTGGTATTGTCAATTACGTATAATTGATATATGTGAATCAAAGAAGCAAAAAGAATTTTTATTCATGTCCTTCTGGCCATCTACGCACTCCGGCTATATAGCCACTTACATCAGCAGTTCGGTGCTATTAGGAAGGGAAATAATAGTAGGAAACTACCTACTATAATTACAATACATAATTTTGTTACCAAAAATAAAGATAAGCCTCCCTAATAATATTATATACGTAATACCCCCCTCAAGTTGGAGCATGAGGATCAAGAATGCCCAACTTGCGCAGTAGAAAATGGAACTGTGTCTTGCCCAAAGCCTTGGTGAAAATATCAGCAAGTTGTATTGTAGTAGGAACGTAACTCGGAGCAATTAGATTGTCTTGGATGGCATTGCGAACGAAGTGACAATCAACCTCAATATGTTTAGTGCGTTCATGGAAAACCGGATTGCGAGCAATGTGAAGAGCGGACTGGCTGTCACAATAAAGAGGGATAGCTTGTGAGTGATTGATTCCCAGGCTAAGAAGCAAGGCTTTAAGCCACTTCAGTTCACAGGTAGCTGCTGCCATGGAGCGGTATTCAGCTTCAGCAGAGGAACGGCTACCGTGGTTTGTTTCTTGGTTTTCCACGAGACGGGAGAATGTCCGAGAAACACCAACCAGCAGGAAAGAGACTTGCGAGTGAGGGGACAAGCAGCCCAATCAGAATCACACCAACCTGTAAGAGTAAGATCACCATCTGATCGAAGTAAGATTCCTTGACCTGGGGAACCTTTAAGGTATCGAACAACACGAAGAGCAGCCTGCCAATGTTCAAGGCGTGGAGCCTGCAAGAATTGAGACAAAATATGGACTGCATAAGCAAGATCAGGGCGTGTGACTGCCAAATAGATAAGACGCCCCATCAGCCGACGGTAGGTGTTTGGATCCGAGAGTAGGGGTCCTGAAGCATGAGCCAAATCATGATTTTGTTCAATGGGAAATGTCGCAGGTTTGGCCCTAAGCAAACTTGTTTCAGAAATAATATCAAGAGCGTACTTGCGCTGAGTGAGAAATAGACCAGAAGCACTCCGAGCAACCTCAATACCCAGAAAGAATTTGAGTTTGCCCAACTCTTTCATGTGAAAACAATCACCCAAGTATTGTTTAAACAAAGCAATTTCCTCTGAATTATTCCCTCAAATAATAAGATCGTCTACATACACAAGAACGTTCAATTGAAAAGTACCCCGTGTTCTTGTGAAGAGAGAATAATCAGCAAAAGATTGTGAGAATCCATAACCTTTCAAGGCCGCCACTAGCTTAGCAAACCAACACCGTGGTGCTTGCTTTGAACCATATAGTGATTTATGGAGACGACATACCAAGGTGGCGTCCGTGGTCGAATAGCCAGGAGGAATAGTCATATATACCTCCTCCTGAAGGTCCCCATGAAGAAATGCATTGTGGACATCCATCTGATGCAACTCCCAATTTTTACAAGCAGCAATAGCAAGGAAAGCCCGCACAGTTACCATTTTGGCCACATGAGCAAAAGTTTCCGTATAGTCCAGACCAGCCACCTGACGATTACCAAAAACAACCAAACGAGCCTTCAGGCGTTCCACGCTCCCATCAGATTTGTATTTTATTTTATAGACCCAGCGGCAACCTAAAGCACGTTTTCCAGGTGGAAGAGTGACCAAAGACCACGTGGAATTTTTTTCAAGAGCCTAGATTTCGTCACGCATGGCCGGCCGCCACCCAGGATCGGCAACAGCCTCTTTAAAAGTTTGAGGTTCACTCCGGGAAGAAATAGCTGCAAGAAATGTCCGATGGGAAGAGGAAAAATTATCACAACTAACATAATGTGAAATAGGAAACAGAGTACCTGAGGAAGCAGCCGGAGTGGCAGAGGAGGGGATGGAACTGTACTTTTGCACTGTATGAGTAACATAATCCTTTAAACGAACATATGGGTGTTTGACCCGATGCCCTCTTCCCACAACTTCAACCAGCGGATCAGGTGGTGGATCCAGTACAGATGCAACCGGATGTGGTGATTCCGGCGTAGAGATGTCCACTGGAGTAACAGGTGCTGGAGCAGAATTAGTAACATATTGATCATCATACGAAGCCACTAACAAGTCTTCCCCATTTTCGGGAATCAGCTCAGGCGCATCCAGAGAATCATCAGCAAAAGGAAAGATGTCTTCAGAGAACTTTACATCTCGTGACACAAAAAATTCACAAGTATCCAGATCATACAAATTCCAACCTTTTTTTCCAAAAACATATCCAACAAAAATGCATTTCCGGCTTCGGCTAGTAAATTTGTCACCCTTGGATTTAAGATTGTAAGCATAGCAAAGACAACCAAAAATTCTCAAAGATGTATAAGATGGTGGCGACCCAAAAAGTAGTTCATAAGGTGTGCGAAATTGGAGCACAGAGGCAGGAGTCCGATTAATTAAATGAGCAGCCATTAAAATGCATTCCCCCCAAAACTTGATCAGAAGATGAGCCTGAAACTGCAATGCACGGGCTACATTCAAGATGTGCTGATGCTTACGTTCAACACACCCGTTTTGTTGAGGTGTGGCAACACAAGAGGTCTGAAAAATAATACCACTAGTCCAGAAAAATTCTTTTAAACAATTAAATTCTGTACCGTTGTCACTCCGGATAATAAAAACCTTTTTAGAAAATTGTCTTTCCACCATTGCAATGAAAGACATAAACATAGTAAATACTTCTCGTTTATCCTTCAGCAAATAAATCCACACGGCACGGGAAAATTCATCTACTATAGTCAAAAATAATTTTGCACCACAAGAGGAAGCAGTATTATAAGGACCCCATAAATCACAATGCACTAATTCAAAAATATTGCTAGTCTTATTCGTACTGTCAGGAAAAGACTCCTTACTTTGTTTAGCACGAAAACAAACATCACACGAAGAAGAGAGAGATTTATTGAAATCACGCATTGGAGCAAGTTTATTCATTACTCTCACAGAGGGGTGCCCCATTCTCTTGTGCCAAATGTCAAACTCATTGCTTCCAGAAATAGTCAAAACTTGAGCAGTAGTAATCTCCCGCAAATAGTACAGTCCATTCCGCCTCTCACCCATTCCAATCAGCTTCCTCGAGACTCGGTCCTGTATAACACACAAGTTAGATGTGAATTGAACAAAACAATCCAGTTCATCACTCAATTGAGTTACAGATATCAAGTTGCAAGTCATTTGAGGAACAAATAGAACATGATATGTTTCAAACGCAATCCTCCTGCAAATTCAACACAACCCTCTTCGGTTGCTAACACTTTTTGCCCGTCCGGTAACCCAACCGAACAAGATCTTATAGATTTAAGTTGGGACAGGTCTTCCCTATTGCCACAAATATGATTTGTGGCTCCGGTATTAATTATCCAAGCCGTGAGAGCGGACTTACCGTTCATGCGGCTATTAGAAATATTAGAGTTACCGAGGGCAGAAACCAAAGTTTTCCATTGTTCCGGGGTAAAGCCCGGCAATGGAGTGTAGTCTCCAAGCCTATCCCCAGCGTTCCCAACGGAAAGTTGATAGCCTCCAGTTGCAGCAACTGCTGCATGAGCTTTGGCAGCAGGTTTCAGGTGTCCAGCAACTTTGAACGAGCCTTTCCCATGTCCGGCAGCCTTCTTTTCAGCCTTTGGGTGGTCGAATCTGCTTGATGTGCTGGAATACACTTCATCACCGGCGACCATAGCTTGATTTTAGTGCTCTGATACCATGTCAATTACGTATAATTGATATATGTGAATCAAAGAAGCAAAAAGAATTTTTATTCATGTCCTTCTGGCCATCTACGCACTCCGGCTATATAGCCACTTACATCAGCAGTTCGGTGCTATTAGGAAGGGAAATAATAGTAGGAAACTACCTACTATAATTACAATACATAATTTTGTTACCAAAAATAAAGATAAGCCTCCTAATAATATTATTATATACGTAATAGGCATGCTCTTTAAAAATCTCGATCGTGTCTTTTTAGTTTTTTACTCCACGGGCCAAATGAATTGGCAAATCAAATTGGAATCTAAAAATAGACTACATCCGTCACTAATTTATCTTCTCAAGCACATATGTATATATTTTTAATATATGAAAACATTATTAATTAATGTTTACCTAAATGTTTGTAAGATAAATACGTAGAAGTACATGTTGTTTGCGTATCTCGAAAAACTGCAAAATAAATAATTAAATAACAAATTATGATAAACGAGAAGCGTACAAAATTGAAGAGGATTGAACGGAGCCCAACAAATGCTTGTTGTCTCCTTAAGAAAAATTTGCTCGCTAGCAATTGTCTCACAGGATAGAACGGTTTTTTGTTCCCGAAGGACACTGGCGAACCAAACGATGCACTAACGATGGAAAGTGGGATGTAGAGGAAGAAGAAAACTTTGAGATGATTTTCGGACTAGTTGCTTATGTGTAAAACCGCAGGAGCCAATTGGGATTAAGTACTCTGGTCAGGAGACTAATCCCAAAAGGCACCTATTTAGAAAAAGGTGGCAACCTTTCTTCTAAGAGTATGTTTGGCACAACTAGCTGAAAAGATACTTTTGTGAACTTTTTAGTAACTACTACTCCCTCCGTCCCGCTAAGATTGTCCCATTTTACTTTTTCGGGAAATCCCACTAAGATTGTCTCATACCAAATTTGGTAAAGTAAATCATTTTTACTTTATTCTTACTTTATCAATTTAACATCAACCACACAAGCCCACTTTTCTTAATAATCGTGTCACCTTCTGTTGTCCTAATCTTAGTGGGACGAAGGTAGTAGTTTTTAGTTACTGAAAAGATCTTAAAAAGAAAATGTGATAGTTGTTTGGTAAAAAGTTGACTATTTGATTTAGGATGTTTTTACTTGGACTGTAATTTACTGGTTTGGTCTGGTCTGAACTGGTTTGGTCTGGTCTGGTCTGAACTGGTTTGGTCTGGTCTGGTCTGGTTTCTTTGTATTTTTATAACTACCCAAGTCTGGTGTGGACTGATCTGGACTGGTCTGGTTTGGTCTGATCTGGTCTGGTCTGGGGCAAATTACAGTCCAAGTAAAAACATCCTTAGTTCGGTTTGGTATCCAAGCTGTTAAGACTAATTAATACTAGAGATTTTACTCTTTGTTAAAGTAAATCATTTTTACTTTATTCTTACTTTATCAATTTAACATCAACCACACAAGCCCACTTTTCTTAATAATCGTGTCACCTTCTGTTGTCCTAATCTTAGTGGGACGAAGGTAGTAGTTTTTAGTCACGGGTTTTTTTCAGATGCTACTCTTTGTAGCATCTCAAAAAAGAGATTTTAATATTTGAAAACTCTTAAAAATTGTCTGACCAAACATATAATTAGAAGCTTTTAGAAGCTGTTCTCTTCGCCTGATCTGAATGTTTCTGATATGAATTTTTTAAGTTCTGATCTGATCTGATCTGAATTTTTCTGAGCTGATCTGATCTGATCTAAATCTTTCTGATCTGATCTGATCTGATCTGAATCTTTCTGATCTGATATGAATGTTTCTGATCTGGTTTGATCTGATCTGAATGTTTCTGATCTGATCTGAATCCTTCTGATCTGATCTGATCTGAATCTTTCTGATCTGATTTGAATATTTCTATAATTATAATTATAATTATTGTAACTATTGAAATTTTAATTACAAATATAATTTAAATAAAATTATAATTATAATCCTAACTATAATAATACTAATAATAATAAATCAATTTAAAATGAAAAAAAGTTATACCTATTACACTAATTATAAATATAGATACAATTATAATTGTAATTATATTTTTAATTATAATTACTTATATAATTATAATTGTAATTATAATTACAACATTTATCTCTATAATTGTAACTATAGTTATCAATATTATTATAATTACTCCGTAAAATAATTACAATAGTAATAATAATATTATTATTAATAATTATAATAAAAATAATAATTATAATCATAAATTATAATTATAATATAATTATAAGTATAATTATAACTGTTATAATTATAATTAATAATAATAATAATAATAATAATAATAATAATAATAATAATAATAATAATAATAATAATAATAATAATAATAATAATAATAATAATAATAATAATAATAATAATAATAATAATAATAATAATAATAATAAAAGTGAAAACTTTTCTGATCTGATCTGATCTGAATGTTTCTGATCTGATCTGAATGTTTCTAATCTGGTCTGATCTGAATCTTTCTGATCTGATCTGAATCTTTCTGATCTGATCTGATCTGAATCTTTCTGGTCTGATCTGATCTGATCTGAATAAAATAAGAATAAGCAATAAGTAATAAGAATAAGACGAACAGAACAACACCTTAGAGACTTTTTGAACATTATAAAAGCTAGCTTAGAAGTCAGAAACTTATGCCTGCCAAACATAGCCTAAGTATTGTCTTAACCGAAATTAATTATACAAAAATCAATGTTTAAGTCTTAAAGCCACGTCGGGTATCCACCTGTACCCGAATCCCGACCCAACCCAGCTGGCCAGTGGCAACGACGTCTGAAGTGCAATTTCACGCTCACTGTGTGCAGAGACAATTTCTCATTCATTTCAAAATGGTTTTCTACAAATAATATATTGAAATATTAATTTGTAAACCATTTTACCAAACATACAATGCAAAGAAAACGAAAAGATTCAAAATAAGAAAGGGACAAAAAGACCAAAAGAGTATACAGAGAGTGCTTTATTGTGGGAGAGGTGGAAAAGGCAGGGTGGTTGTATGCGGGAGAGGTGGAAAAGGCAGGGTGGTTGTATGCATGGGAGGTAGATTTTGTCCTTTTAAGAGACCATATATGATTTGCTCCCGCTCGTTTGTCCAAATGCCTTTGGAAAATCCCTTTTGTGTCTTATTTATATTTCTGTAGATTCTGTTCTGATATACCAATTCACTACCTTTTTCAATCTCGTTTTTTGATGGTATAATTATATATGGTCGAGAAGATAATTCAAGAAGGAAAGAACCAAATTAAAGAGTTTGATGAGGAGTAAAGTGTGCAGAAAAACAATATAAATGTATTAATATTTCAACTTTTATTATGAGATGAAACTAACCAATTAATCTTATTACAATTGATGCGAAAATGTGAAACAGCTGGGGTAATGATTTAAGCCGAGAAATGATTAGAGAAAGATTTTCATAAATTGATCGATTTCAAATTTATAATTAATGATAGGGAGTCTTTTGGTTCTCGGAATGCAAGAGCATCTCCAATGGTACAATGTGCACGGTGCACACGTGGCATGAGAGATAACCACATAAATATTAGTAAATAAATTCTTTCTCTCCTTATTTCAATGATTTTATACAGTATTGATAAGTTTTTCTCCACAATGTCAAGGAGACCGTCTAGATGTTGACATTGTTGTTGACATTGCAGGGAAAAACTTACCAAAGTTGTATAAAATCATTCAAATAAGGAGAGAGATAATTTATTTGTTAATATTTATGTGGCTATCAATCATGCCACATGTGCACCGTGCACATTATAGCATTGGAGATGCTCTTAAGATAGTCAGATAGGTCCTTTCGTTGGAATGTAAGATAGTCAAATAGATCACTGCATCTTTAATGTTACAATGTGCACAGTACACATGTGACATGCGAGAGATAAACGTAAGAGATTTAATTTATGACATTTGTTGCTCTTTTGTTTCCACGGTCATAAGTAATTTTGGTAAGTTTTTCTCAACAATGTCAACCACAATGTCCAAGTCTCGACATTGTGCTTGATATTATGAATATTAATAGAGTATCTTACCCATGATTATATGAGCCTAGGTACATGTAAGATTACCTATTTACCTAGGTAATACAATTTCTTAATGTGTTTGATTTGATTGCCATGTTAATTATTTTAAACTAATGTGATTCAAATACAAAGAACGTAAGAATATCTTATTTATAAACTAGAATTTAGGATATTTTCTTTTGGACTAAAATTTGTTGGTCTGATCTGGTCTGGTCTCGTCCGATAAACGTCTGGTCTCTGTGTATTTTATAATTACGGAAGTCTGGTCTGGTCTGGTTTGATCTGGTCTGGCCCGGGACTGAAAACAGTCCAAAAGAAAACATCCTAAGGATGTTTTCTTTTGGACTGAAATTTGCTGGTCTGATCTGGTCTGGTTTGGGACTGAAAACAGTCCAAAAAAACATCCTTCGTGCACAATGCAAAAGGTGTTTTTATTAACTTGTGAATCACTCCACCAGAATAAAGTATCCTTCACCCTATGAAATGGTCGTAATTAATAAGGAAATTTGTCTAAATAGGACTCGGTTATTGAGAAGGTGGACAAAAGAAATTCAACACTATAATAATTGTTCAACAAAAATCTATCAACATTTGATTATGCAGTAATTAATTAGCGAAAAAGAAAAATGCTGTTGGAACATTTGAAACACGGGCTCAGGTTATCTGGTACAGAGACAACGATTATAATTTGACTGGTTTCGATGACATACAACGTTAATTTAAATTTAAATAAATTTGATCAGGTTAAGGATGTTTTCTTTTGAACTGAAATTTGCTGGTCTGGTCTGGTCTGGTCTGTTTAAGTCTGATCTGATCTAGTCTGAACTGGTCTGGTCTGGTAAACGTCTGGTCTCTGTGTATTTTATAACTACGGAAGTCTAGTCTGGTCTGTTTAAGTCTGGTCTGGTCTGGTCTGGTCTGTTTAAGTCTGGTCTGGTCTGGTCTGATCTGTTTAAGTCTGGTCTGGTCTGGGACTGAAAACAGTCCAAAAAAAAACATCCTAAATCGGACTAAGTATCTTCAATGCTAAAACGTTAACGGTGCATACGTGGCATGAGAAATAACCAATTAAAAAACAATAAA